CTACCAGTTTTTGCATGTTGATTTTGTATCCAGCAACTTTGCTACAGTTATTTATCAACTCTAAGTGTACTTTGTAGAGATTTTGGGCTGTTCTATATATAGGATCATGTAATCAGCAAATAGAGACCATTTAACTTCGTCTTTTCCAATCTGGATGCCCTTTATTCTTTGTCTTCCCTGATTGCTCTAGCTAGTAGTTCAAGAATATTTGAGTAGGAGTTGTGAGAACAGCATCCTTGTCTCATTTTTGTTCTCAAGGGAAAAGTTTTCTGCTTTTTCCCACTCAGGGTGATATTGGCAGAGGGTTTCTCATATATGGCATTTATTATGTTGGAACACTTTTCTTCTATACCTAAATTGCTGAGAGTCTTTATCATGAAGGGATATTGAAATTTGTCACGTGCTTTTTCTACATGTACTGAGATAAACATATGGTGTTTTCATTGATATTTTTTGATGAGGTGTATCACATTTATTGGTTTGCATATGTTGAACCATCCCTGCATCCATGGGATGAATCTCACTTGATCATGGTGTATAATTTTTTTTTGATGTGCTGTTGTATTCTGTTTGCTAATAGTTTGTTGAAGATTTTTGCATCTATGTTCATGAAGGATATTNGCTGAGAGTCTTTATCATGAAGGGATATTGAAATTTGTCACGTGCTTTTTCTATATGTACTGAGATAAACATATGGTGTTTTCCTTGATATTTTTTGATGAGGTGTATCACATTTATTGGTTTGCATATGTTGAACCATCCCTGCATCCATGGGATGAATCTCACTTGATCATGGTGTATAATTTTTTTTGATGTGCTGTTGTATTCTGTTTGCTATTATTTTGTTGAAGATTTTTGCATCTATGTTCATCAAGGATATTGGCCTGTACTTGTCTTTTTTTGTTGAATCTTTGTCTGGCTTTGTATCAGTGTGATACTGGCCTCATAAAATGACTTGGGGAAAATGGCTTCTGTTTCAATTTTTTGGTATAGCTTCAAAAGAATTGGTATTAATTCCTCTTTAAATGTTTGGTAGAATTCAGCAGTTAAGCCTTCTGATCCTGGGCTCTTCTTTGTTAGAAGACTTCTGATTACTGCTTCAATCTCTTTGCTTGTTATTGGTCTGTTCAGATTTTCTATTTCTTCTTGGTTTAGTCTTGGTAGTTTGCATGTGTCTAGAAATTTATCCATTTCTTCCAGGTTTTCAAATTTGTTGGCATGTAGTTGTTCATAATAGTCTGCAATGATTATTTATATTTCTGTGGTATTGGTTGTTATGTCTCCTTTTTCATCTCTAATTTTTTTTATTTGGGTCTTCACTCTTCTTTTTTTAAGTTGTCTGGCTGATGGGTTGTGTATTTTATTTATCTTCTCAAAAAAAACCCCAACTTTTTGTTTGATTGATCTTTTGTATTCTTTTTTGAGTTTCTATTTCATTTAGTTATGCTCTGATCCTAATTATTTCTTTCAATCTACTTCATTTCGGATTGAATTGTTCTTGTTTTTCTATTTCTTTGAGGTGTAGTGTTAGGTTGTTAATTTGAAAACATTCTATTCTTTTGATGCAAGCATTTGATGCAATAAACTTCCCTCTTAGAACTACTTTTGCAGCATCCCACATGTTTTGGTATGATGTTTCATTATTTTCATTAGTTTTGAGAGATTTTTTGATTTCCTGCTTAATTTCTTCTTGGACCATATGGTATTCAGGAGCATGTTGATTAATTTCCATGTGTTTCTATAGTTTCCAGAGTTTCAGTTTTTGTTGATCTCTAGTTTTAATACATTGTGGTATGAAAAGATACTTGAAATGATTTCAACTTTTAAAAATTTATTGAGGCTTGATTGTAACCTAGCATGTGCTCTATCCTGGAGATTATTCAGCGAACTAGTGAGAAATATGAATATTTGTAGCTGTTGTATGAAATGTTTTGTAGATATTTGCCATGTCCATTTGGTCTAAAGTGTGGTTTAAATCCTATGTTTCTCTATTGACTTGTTGCCTAGATGATCTGTCTAATGTTGAGAGAGGGGTTTTTAGGTCCCCTAGTATTATATATTAGGGTCTATCTCTCTCCTTAAGCCTAATAGTGTTTTTTTTAATATATCTGAATGCTCCAATGTTGGAAGAATATATATTCATGATTGTTCTGTCTTCTTGCTGGATACATCCCTTTATTATTGTATAGTGGCCTTCTTCGTCTGTTTTTATTTTTGGTTTAAAGTCTATCATATCTGATACAAGAATAGCTACTCCTGCTCGTTTTTGATTTCCATTTTTTTGGCATAACTTTTTCCATCCCTTCCTTCTTAGTCTGTGTGTATCTTTTCAGGTGAAATGTGTCTCTTGTAAACAGCATGTAATAGAGTCTAGATTTTTAATCCAATTAGCCAGCCTGTGTATTTTGAGGTGGGAATTTACATTTAGGCTTGTTACTGAAAAGTATTGTATTACTTCTGGCATTTTATCATTTTTCACTTGGATGTTTTGAATATCTCATGTTTCTTCCTTCCCCTTTTATTGTTTTTCTTTTTATGAATTGGTAAGATAACAGTTTATTTTTGTTTCTCATTTGCATTTTTTTCTACTTGTGGGTTTTTTCTTTCTTGTGTATTCATGGAAGTGATTATCTTCTATTGGATTCCAGATGCAGGACTCCCTTGAGATTTCTTGTAGGACTGGTCATGTAGTGGTGAATTCTAGTAGTTTTTGTTTGTCTTGGAAATAAACTATTTCTCCTTCATTTCTAAATGATATCTGCACTGGATATAGCATTCTTGTTTAGGAGGGTTTTTTTATTTTAGTATTTTGAGTATTTCATTCCATTCTCTTCTGGCTTCTAGAGTTTCTGTTGAGATGTCTGCTATTAGACTAATGGGGACTCCTTTACATGTGACTTGACACTTTTCTCTTCCAGTCTTTAGGATTCTGTTTTGTCTTTGTCTTTGAACAGTTTGACTACAATGTGTCTTGGAGAGGACCTTTTTTGGATTGAAACTGCTTAGGGATTTTGAGCTTCTTGAATCTGAAGGTCCATGTCTGTCCCCTATACCTGGTAATGTTTCTGCTATGATTTCACTGAGTATGTTCCCAGTGCCTTTTCCTTTCTTCTCACCTTCAGGAATACCCATGACATGGAATTTTGTATGCTTAAGGTTATCTGATATCTTTCTTAGATTATCTTCATATTTTTAAATTGTTTTTTTTAGCTGCCTGAGTTATTTTGAAGAGATTGTCTTTAAGATCAGAAATTCTGTCTTCTGCTTGCTCTATCCTGTTGCTTAAGCATTCAGTTGTGTTTTTTATTTCATTGAATGACTTCTTCAGTTCCATGAGTTCTGTTACATTCTTTTTTAAAGTATTAATCTCTTTGTGGATTTCCTCCTTCATATCCTGGATAGTTTTGCTCAGTTTATTGTGTCACTTAACTGTGTCTTCTTGTATATCATTGGGTTTCCTAAAGATTTTTACATGGAATTACTTTTCAGTCATTTCAAATGTTTCCTGTCCTATGGGGTCTGGCTCTTGAGAGTCATTATATTCCTTTGTTGGACTAATTTTTTTTTCATGTTTTTAATATCTTTAAGTTGACATTTAGTCATCTGAAAGAGCAATTCCTTCAGCTTTTACTCTCTTTGCCTGGACTTTGTTGGTGACCCTCTTTGTGTCAATTCAGATGAGTGGTTGGCTCTCTGCCTGCACAGCTGCAGTGACTGCTGTTGCTGTTGCTATGGTAGCATGCCACCCTTATGGTGGTAGCGGTTGTGGCAGTGGCTTTGGTGGGTTGCTTGCATAGCAGCAGTGGCTCCAGCAGTGGCAGGCTGCTTGCTCAATGATGGTGGCTATCCGGTAGTGCTGGTGGTGGCAGTGACTCCAGCGGTGATAGTTGCACTAGCCACCCACTTGGCTGTAGTGACCTCCACATCTGCCTGTGCAGCTACAGTGACTGCAGCAACAGCTAGGGTAACTTGCAGAGGTGGCCTCTGCATGGTGGCTGTAATTGCCTCTCTTGCATCTACAGTGTTCACAGCAGTAGAGGGGTTTCATTGTGATGGTGGCAGCAGCACTGGCAGCTACAGCTGACTCCCTTGAGTTTGGTGTTTGTGCAGTGAAAGCGGGTTTACCTCATGGTGACAGCAGTGGTACCAGAGGCTGCACCTGTCTCCTTCCCATCTGTAATGTCCACAGTGGAAGTGAGGCTATCTTGTGGGGTGGAAGTGGTGCTGTTAGCTACAATAGGCTTTGATGCCTCTGCAGTGTCCACAGCAGAAGGGAGGTTACCTCATGGGAGCAGCAGCACTACCAGTGGTTGGAACTGCCTCTGATGTGCTAGATTTCAGTGGAGTTACCTCATGGTGACAACAGCAGCAGCAATGGCTGCAACTGCCCCACTCTTGTCTGCAGTGGCCCTAGGGACTGCAGGGTCAATTCACTGCAGGGGCAGTGGTGCTGGGGTCTGCCACTTCCTCACTCACTCCCTCAGTGGCTCTAGCAGCTGCAGGGCTAATTTGCTGCAGGTGCAGTGGTTCTGTGGATTGCAACTGCTTCACTCACTCCCTCTTGGTCTTTGGAAGCTGCAGGATTAATTCACAGCAGGATCAGCAGTGCTGGTTTCTGCTGCTTCCTTGCTCACTCTCTCAGCCACAGCCAGTCCTGCTGGTGTGATGGCTATGCTGCATGCAGCTATGGGAGGGGGACCTGCAAGCTGTGCTGTCTGTTGAGGCTGCTTAGATGGGAGTCCCATGCCTGGTAAGTCTGGCTGGTGTGGGGGTGTAGACAGCTGCTAACAAAGTCTGTTGCACTGCAGGTGGCTGTGGCAGGGGACCCTCACATGGCCGAGCTGAATGGTGTAGCAATGTGGGCAGGGACCCTGTGCACATCTGGCCTGGTAAGAGCTGTAGTTCCAGTTCGGGTGGCTCTGGAAACAGCAGTGTCTGGAGCTGTGCTACAGACAACAGCAGTCTGGGATGGGGCAAAACTCACAGTGGGAAGGTGGATGATGGTCCTCGTTCCTGATGATGTCACCCGTGAGTGCTGTGATGGTGGTGAAGAGTCTGCTCTTCTCTTCTACGGGAGAAACATGTCCCAGGTTTCTCTAGTCTGCTATCTTCCCTCAGTCCAGACATATATATATATATATATATATAGTTTTATTTTATTGAGATACCTTCCTTCTATACCTCATTTGTTGAGAGTCTTTGTCTTGAAGGAATGTTGAATTTGGTCAAATGTTTTTTCTGCATGTATTGATATGATCCTGTGGTTTTTGTTCTTGATTTTTTTTTTTTTATGTGGAGTATCACATTTCTCGACTGGCATATGTTAAACTACCCTTTCATCCCTGGGATAAATCTCAGTGATGGTGATATATAACCTTTTTGATGCTTTGCTGTGTTCTGTTTGCTAGTATTTTGGTGACAATTTTTGTGTCTAAATTTATCAAGGATATTGGCCTGTAGTTTTCTTTTTGTGTGTGTGATCTGATTTTGGTGTCAGCGTCATGCTGGCCTCATAGAAGAAGTTTGAGAGAATGGCTTCTGTTTCAATTTTTTGGAATAGTTTGGAAAGAATCAGTATCAATTCCTCTTTAAAGGTTTGGTAGAATTCAGCAGTGGAGCCATCCGGTCCCGGGCTTTTCACTGTTGGAAGATTTCTGAATAGTGCTTCAGTCTCATTTCTCATTATGGAACTGTTCAGTTTTTCTATGTCTTCTTGAATTAGTGTTGGTTGTTTGTAAGTGTCCAGAAGTTTATACATTTCATCCAGGTTTTCAAATTGTTGGCATGTAGTTAGTGATAGTACTATCCAGACATTCTTTGTATTTCTGAGGTGTCAGTTGTGATGTCGCCTTTTAATTTCTGATTTTTGTTATTTGGATCTTCTCTCCCCTTTTTTTCAGTTAATTTGGTTAATAGTTTGTCTATTTTGTTTATCTTCTCAAAAAAAAATCCCAACTTTTTTGTTTCTTTGATCTTTTGTATCATATATTTGGTTTGTATTTCATTTAGTTCTGATGTGCTTTAAATTATTTCTTTCGATATATTAACTTTGGGATTGAATTGTTCTTTTATTTCTAGGCTTTAGTGGTGTAAAGTTAGATTCTTTACCTGAAGTCTCTCTATTTGTTTGATGTAAGCATTTCTTGCAATATACTTTCTTCTTAGTACTGCTTTTGCAGTATCCAATAGGTTTTGGTATGTTGTGTCACCATTATCTTTTGTTTTGAGAAACTTTTTGATTTTCTATTTGATTTCTTGCTTAACCCATATGTCACTAAGGAGCATACTGTTTAATTTCCATGTATTTGTATGGTTTCCCAAGTATCATTTATTGTTGATTTCAGTTTTAATCCATTGTGGTCTGAGAAGGTGCATGAAACAATTTCAATTTTAAAAAATTTATTGATACTTGATTTGTGATCTAATATGTGGTCTGTTGTGGAGAATGTTCCATGTGCTGGTGAGGAGAATGTATATTCTCTACTTGTTGGGTAAAATGTTCTATATATATCCACCAAGTTAAGTTGGTCTCTGGTGTAGTTTAAATCCTGTCTTTCTAGATTGTTTTGTTGCCTAAGATTGGTTTGTTGCCTACATGATACGGGTAGTGCTGAGAGGACAGTGCTCAGTTCCACAACTAATATTGTTTTGAGGTCTATCTCTCTCTGTTTAGGTGTAATAATGTTTGCTTTATATATCTGGGTATGCCAATGTTGGGAGCATATATATTTATGATTGTTATGTCTTCTTGGTAGATAGGTCTTTTTATCATTATATAATGTCCGTCTTTGTGTCTTTTTACAGTTTTTGGTTTAAAGCCTACTTTATCTGATATAAGAATAGCTACTCCTGTTCATTTTTGGTTTCCATTTGCATGGTATATATTTTCCCATCCTCTCACTATTAGTCTGTGTGAGTTTTTATAGGTGAAACTGGTTTCCTGTTGGTAGCATATAGTTGGGTCTGTTTTTTTTAATCCATCTGGCCACTTGATGTACTTTGAGTGGGTAGTTCAATCCATTACCATTTAGCATTGTTATTGAAAGCTATTATCTAACTCCTGTCATTTAATTACTTTTTTTGTGGTTGTTTTAAGTATCTTTTGTTCCTTTATTTCCCTGTTGTTTGACTTCAGAATTCATTGGGTTTTTGGGGTAGAATGACATAGATTCTTTTCTCTTTCTCATTTGCCTATGTGCTCTACCAGTGGAATTTGTTCTTCTTCATGTATTCATGGTGGTGATTGTTTTATTTTATTTTATTTTTCCTAGGCACAAGACTCCCTTGTGGGTTCCTTGTGGGGCTGGCAGTGTGGGACTGAATTTCCATAGTTTTGTTTTTCTGGGAAATACACTATGTATTCTACATGGGGTGGTGTGGTTGTAAAACATTATAAATGTAAACAATGAAACTAAATTGTACTCTAAGAAGTGGTCAAAACATCAAAATATATTTCTTAAAAAATGAGAAAAGAACACATCTCCAAATCGTGTTCTCTATTATTGAATTATCTACTTTGGAAAATTTATGCCAGCAATTTTTTGATTTAAAGCTAAGATTTCACCCACTTCTACACATTATTTCATAACACTCCCCTATATTTGGCTGACCAAATATTATTATCCATTTCTTTAAAAGGGAATAGTGTTTCAGGGAAAAAAATGTAATTTGTCCAATATCACAAGTAAAAAAAAAAGGTGGGTGATTATAATTTAATTATCCTTCTACTACATAAAACTTAGAAATGATACTGTAGTTTACATTCAGAATTTATAATACCTACAGAACATAAGTTGTAATATCAAAGTGGTAAAATGTAGACAATTTAATTATTTTGACTAGATTTACCACTTCAGTATTAGTAAGAATAAAATAACTAATCTTCCAAATGATTGAACTTTCAAATTCTGACAATAATTTTACAGGCAAAAAAGAAAAATTCAGTTATTTCAAGGCCAGGCATTTTGACTATTTTAAGGGAAGTGAGAAATGGATGCATGCACTGATATGGGTTACACTGGTTCACCCTGAAAACATTATGGGTGTTTGCTTCCCCAAATCACTTTTCCATCTCAGCATCCTTTACCATGTTTTGTTCATTTTTTATATCCAAATACATAATGAATCAAATATTCAACCCTATCATTGTGAGATGTCTAGCCAGCTATGCTCCTGGAGCCTTAATTGTAATGTTAGCTACCATCAGTGTACTTTATATGAGCTTTGATGAAAGTGAGCAAAAGTTAAAATACCTACAACATAGCTGTTACAGTCCCAATTCTGAAGTAGGTTGTTACTTCTTAGTAGATAGTCCAATTATGCTACCATTTTTTTTGTTACCTTTCCCCTTAGGAGTATCTCCTTTTCTTCCATGTTAGGTTATAACAAACCCATTTTAAGAGGATCTCCATAAAGCATGAAATCGTTTAAATGAATGAAAAGGAATTCTGAAAGCAATCTTTACATTTTTTAAAGTTTATTTATTTAGTGATATATATATATTTTAATTCTAAGGTGGCGTTGTGGAGCAGTTGGGGGGTAGAGGAGATGGGAAGGGGGAAGGGAATAGCCTGGGAGAAGGAGGAAGGGGGTGTGGTTGAGGCCTGTGGTGCTCCCCTTATTCCTGCAGGGGAGACCAGGGGGACTCCAGTGGTGGTTCAGTCCTTGCTGGGCTGGATGCAGATGTGGGGGTGTGGCTGAAGACTTCAGCACCTCACAGCCCTGGCCCAGGAGATTGGTGTGCTTCCTGTGGCAGCTCGATGGTCATCACTGGGCAGGTTGTGGGTGTGAGGGGGGCATGGCCAGAGCCCTTGGTGCCCCACTTCCGTGGCTTAGGTGACCAGGGTGCTTCCTGCAGTGGCCTGGTGGTCATTGCTGGCCTGGTTCCAAAAGTAGAGGGGCATGGCTGAGGCCCCCAGACCTCTGTGATCCCTGGCTTGGGAACCCAGGAAGCTTCCAGTCATTCTAAGTTTTATAGGTCTTCTTTGGTGGTGTTAGACCTTTACGAGTTAGTATCAAACTTTGTCTCTGGTCTGTGGGTATTTTGGTTTTTCTTTGAGTTCTGTGTTGCATTATTTGCAGTTCCCACTACTTAAATTCTACACTGGAACTAATTTGTTTTCCTTTGCTTACTTCTGAAATGGAGGCCCTTCTTTTGGGGACCAGAACTTGAGCTCTGTAGGTGGGCTAAATTGTTGTTTAGCTGCTGATTCCTTGCAGAAGGATTTTTGTGCAGCTCAGGTTTTAATTGCTGACATCTGAGTTCTGGTACATGTAGGTTTGTGGAAATTCTGGTCTGGGCCTGAGTCTTTTCAGCAAACTTCACCCCCTACAGTTCCATATTCCTGTCTGGTCTCCACTGAGTGGTCCTGCACTGATTGGTGGGCTGATCAGCTGTCCAGGCTGTGTCCCAGTTTCACCCATCTCCGCCACTATCTGCACTCTAAACCCTTGCAATGTCTCTCCAGCCTCTGAGTGGCTCCTTTTTTCAGTTGTTCTGGCTCCTCACTTCTATCTGCATCCACAGGAACCCTGTTAGCAGTCTTGCTGGCCTGAAGGCTACCAAGGCCCTCTTCTCCCCTGCCGCATCCAAGCATTGCCAGCTCTTGCTCCATGCTGCACTCACCAGCTCCAGCTTGGAAGCATCTGGGATTTGAAATGGGGAGAGTGATCTTTTCTTTCTCTTTCTCTCACTGTGGCTTCTTCTGCCTACGTGAACTCTGCAGATCTCTCCTCCTCTTCCCCTGAGCTCTAGCAGCCTGAGATTTTCTGTCATTACTTTTAATAGTTGTAAATTGGTTGATTTGTGGGAGAGAGTGACACTGGGAACCATCTATTCTGCCATCTTGACTGGATACCCCAAAAACAATCTTAAGGAAACTCAGTGAGATACAAAAACAATCAGTTAGGTGCCCCAATAAAATGAGAAAAAAAAAATTCCAGGATATGAAGGAGGATATTTGCAAAGAGATACGTACCTTATGAAAGAATGTAACAGAACTACTGGAACTGAAAGTTTCATTAAATGTGTGGGAGAAGCCTCCTGACCTCGGTGGAGGAGCCCCTAGCTATAGGACTGGCTATGGCTTCATTTTTACACCTGGAGACGCACTGGGGGCGGGGGGCTCCACCTGAGGGGCCTCAGGGAGAGAGAAACTCATGTCTGTGTTTCCGTTGATGGTTTAAAAAATACAGAAAACGTCCTGAGACACACCACAGGCCACTTATCTAGCCCCTGTGGGGGACGCTGAAGCTGTTTCCAAGTGCTTTTGTTACAACAGAATCACGGGGAACTTCTTCCTACACTATTCTTACAAAAATTTCTCCATCCCGGCAGCTAAAATGACCAGACCAATTTACCCTCCACTACAGCAGAATTTAAAACTGCCCATTTTCCCACATCTTCACTGACATTAGGTATTATGATTTTTTAACTTTTTTTTGGCCGACTGGCCTTGCTGTTTGTATCTGCACTTCCAGGGTAAGCCCTGTTGCATTCCGGGTCTTCTTTTATGCACCAGACCACCTTTGTGGTAGGAGTGATTTGTTATTCTTTTTCTGTGGGGGAGGAACCAGAGGCCCAGAGAGGGCTTTAGCCAGCATCCCACAGCAGGTTACTTCCCGAGCCGGGATTTGCACTCAAACCACTTACAGATCAAAATTCATGTTGCTGCCACTTCTGTCCTAGCTGTGGCCCCGTGAGGCCCCCTAGTTCCTCTCTCCCCTGACTCAGTTTCCCTCCCTAGCTGGACCATGAGGCCAACCTCACCAGCAACATGGTGCTGGTGCCGCTGACCCATCAGAATGTCACTGTGGAAGCTGGCACCAGCTGCCAGGTGGCCGGCTGGGGGACCTGGCAGACTGGAGGACGTCTCTCCCGCTTCCCAAGGATCGACAACATGACCGTGACACCCAAAGACCACTGTCGCCACAACAGTGTGTGCACTGGTGTGCTCACCCGCCAGGGTAGAATCTGCCAGGTATGGCCAGGCCGGGTGCAGACCCAGCGTGGGCTCCTCATGGCGGGAGGAGGCGTCATGTGAGGACTTGAGCTCCCAGTGGCAGGAGAAAGCGAATCCAGGTCAAAGGAGACTGGGGTGTGGTGGGGAGTAGGATTGAGCATTTTAACTTGAGAAACAGAAACAGTACTTACTAAACACCTACCGTGTGCCAAGTCCTGCGCTGGTGCCTGGGGACACCCCAGGGAACAAGACAGAGCAAGGCCTGCATTTTTGTAGTTCCCAGACCCAGAAGTGTGGGGGGCTGTCAGACATTGTGATTGCTGGGGGCCTTGGCGGGCATCCGACCCAGGCTAGGGGTGCCAGGAAGTTCCTGGAGTCATCTGGGACCCAAAATTCAACTAGGAGTTAGCCAAGCGAAGGGCATGGGGAACAACATGCAGAGAGAGGGAACAGAGCGTGCAAAGGGCCTGGGGTTGGATTTGTGGTTCCAGGAGCAGGAAGCTGTGGGAGCAGCTGTCTGCTCAGTGGTGCTGACTGGGGTGTGGGGTGGAGCAGGGCCCGGGGACACCCTGACATGCCTGCCACCCGCTCAGGGTGATGGGGCCAGCCCCCTCATCTGCAATGGTCTGGCCCACGGTGTGGCCTCCTTCACCATGGAGCCCTGCGGCTGGGGTCCCGACTTCTTCACCTGTGTGGCACGCTTCCAAAACTGGATCGATAGTGTCCTCAACCGCCCTGCTGGCCTGAGGGAAGCCCCATCAAGCCGTGTGGAGCCTGTGACCTGCTGTGGAACCCAGCCTTGACCTTTGTATCCCGGGGCGCTCTGCATGCCTCCACACCTCCAGGCCTGCCCCCCGCCCCCAGGCCCTGTACTCATGACTCTAAGAAGCCATTTCTCCTCTGCTCCTGATTTCTGCTTCACCAGGTGGACAGGGGCTGGGAGCAGGAGACAGGACCCGTGGCTCTGGGGAGGGTGAATGGAACATTGGTCGGCATTAGGGGCATCGCCCCAAGCGCAGTAATTGTACAGATGCTGAGAAACAGTGACTGTCATTACGTCCACCTGGCAGAGGGGATGCTGAGTTTCAGAGAGGTTCGGTGACTCAACTGAGGTCATAGAGCTCGTGTGAACTTTGAACCCAGGCCTATGCGATCCTGGGGCCCCTTCACCCCCTCTCATTTTGGTGGAGGTTATTTTGTGCAGCACCATGCACGGGAAACCTGGAAACAATATTGGCCACTTGGATCACAGATGGCTAATGTGCCTGATACATAAAGAGCTAAAATATGACCATTAAATAATAAGTGTAATTGTATATATAAGTGGTATAGATAACAATGTAGTTATGTCATATGTAATTTCATTACACTAGATAAAATGTCTTTATTAAAATAAAAATTTCAAACCCTCATATTGCATTTTACATGCAGTATTTTGAGTGTGTGTGTGTGTGTGTGTATTTTGTGGCTGGCTGATACAGGGATCAAACGCCAGACTTTGGTGCTATCAGGACCATGTGAATATATTTTTAACAACATATAATATTGCGTGTGTGTATTTTTTGGCTGGCTGATACAGGGATCAAACCCCAGACTTTGGTGTCATCAGCACCATGTGAATATATTTTTAACAACACATAATAACATATAATTATAATAAGTTTAATATATAAAGAGTTTCTAGGGCTGGCCGGTTAGCTCAGCTGGTTAGAAGTCGTGTTATAACACAAAGATCCAGGGTTTGATTCCTGTACTGGTGAGCCACCCCAAAATAAAAATAAATAAATTACTTAAATTAAATAAAGAAAAAATAGGGATGGCCAGTTAGCTCACTTGGGAGAGCATGGTGCTGACAACACCAATTCAAGGATTAAGATCCCCTGGGCTGGCCCTGTGGCTCACTTGGGAGAGTGCGGCGCTGGTAGCGCTGAGGCCACAAGTTCGGATCCTATATAGGGATGGCCGGTGGTGCGCTGGCTGGCTGAGCATGGTGCAGACAACACCATACCAAGGGTTGCAATCCCCTTAGCGGTCGTCTTTTAAAAAATAAAATTAAAAAAAAAAGACAAAATTATGACAGCCAGTAGTAAAAAAAGGCTCAGGAACCCAGATGTCATAGGGCCCCTGCTGGAGACGTGTCCGTTCATTGCCCAGATGACAAACCTGGAGTTGGGGGTGGGATTGGTTCCAAGAGCGTGTGGTCCCCCATGCTGGGAGCAGACGCTCTCCCAAGAGACCCCCCAGTGGGGCAGTTCCTGCCCATCTTCCCCCAGCTGCGGCGCTTCCTTCCTGTCCTGAGCAGGGAGGTGCTGGGCTTGGGTCCACCTGGCAGTGGGTCAGCCCGGCTCGGGGTCCCATGTGTGCACACTGCTCGGTGACATAGGCCCTACGCCCTCTCAGGCCTCAGATTCTAGGGATGCAGGTTGGGACCCCATCGCAGACACATCCCTCTGCCCCATGTCCCAGCTATCCAGGCCCCGTTTCTCCCACCACCCCGTGTGCCACTCACTGATTCTTTGTAAAGCTCTTAGTTTTGTGAATTCTTGAAGCAGATTGTGAAGTGTCTGGGGGACAGACACATCATGTGAGAGGGGGCCACGGAGGGGTGCAGGTGGACGGGCTTGGGTTGGAGGCTAGAAGACCCGTCGGGGTGCCCAGGGGGCCTGGGGACCCGCATGTGTGCACGTTTGAAGGTCTCCACTTGGTGCAAAAATATGCCCACTGCGAGGGCCCAGCTGTGGTGGGTAAAACAGACAACTTCCCATCACTCAAGAAAAGAGCCTCTTTCTTAAGGAGAAGAGAAAGCGAGACTGAGAGACAGAGACAGAGATGGACAGATGGAGACAGACAGAGACAGAGACGGAGAGCAGAGACAGTGAGACAGAGACAGAGAGATGGAGAGAGATAGAGATGGAGAGAGACAGAGACAGACAGATGCAGACAGACAGAGACGGAGAGAGGCAGAGACAGAGAGATGGAGACACACAGAGACAGAGACGGAGAGAGGCCCCCAGCCCGAGTCCTCGCGCCCTCCCTGCCCTCGGTCTGCCCTCGGTCCTGGGGCCCCCCTGGGTGGCCGTTGCCTATTTCGCCACCCCAGTTGTTACAGGAAGGGGCCGAGGCCGCAGCCTGCAGCCTGCAGCCCCCACTCCCTCAGCCGCCAGCTCGTGGAGGGCCCTCGTGGGTGCACATGGCGGGGCTCTTCCCCAGGGCCGGCAGGTGTCCGATTCTTAAACATGCACCCGCAGAGAAGGGCCGGGCTGTCCCTAGAGTAGAATTCCAGCCAACGGGAGCAGCAGGGATGAGGCAGCACAGCCAAGCGCCCAACCCCGAGTCCTGAACGTGGGAGAAACAGGGTGTTTTTGTCTCAAAAGATCCCCCACAAGAGACTTATTAAAGCCAGAGAGGAGGATCCCAGCTCGACAGTGAGGAACCCAGCAGGCGCCACCCTATCCAAGTGGTCAAGGTTAACACCGTCGGCATGACACACGTGGACACCCGGGCCTCCCGACACGGTCCCAGGAGGACACACGCTGCAGCTGGGGTCCCTCGGTCCACCCTACAGAGTGACTGACCCGTTCTGTCCAACAGTCTCAAGAGGCAAGGAAGGGCTGAGGAACCGTCCCTGACCGGAGACCAAGGAGCCAGAAACACGACACAACGTGGGATCCTGGACCAGAAAAAGGACAACTGGGGACATTCAGAAGGTCTGTGGATGAGGTCATCGTGTTGAGTCGATGATCGTTCCCTGGTTTCGGCCGCGGCCCCTCGGTTGTGTGAGGTGACAACATTCAGGGAGCGGGGGCAGGTGAATCCGGGAACTCTCTGGACTTCTGTAAGCGGGAAATCATTTCAAAATGAAACGTTACAGTGTCGCTAACACCAAGGTCAAGGGTTTGGATCCCCACACTGGCCAGCTGCCAAAAAATGCAACTAAACAACTAAGAAATGGAGAACATTAAAAACTTTTTTTGTATGCCCAAGATTAGAGACCTCCTCTTTTAGGTTTAAATTTTTCATAATGATCAGTCAGTTAAACAGAAGTGAAAAATAAATGAAAACAAAAAGAATAAAGAGTGAACAAAAAACAAAACAAAATAAAAACTAAAAAATTTAAAAAGACGAGTCACTTATAAATAAATAAATATCTCCTCTGCCCTGTGGCTTCTCCCCCAGGGCACCGTGGACGTGGGGCTGGATCCTTCTCCGTGGTGGGGCCGTCCTGGGCACTGCAGGTGCTGAGCAGCGTCCCTGGCCTCCACCCACTCCATGCCAGGAGCACCCCCAGTCGTGACAACCACAAATGTCCCCAGACAGTGCCCAGTGTCCCCTGGATGGGGGGGTGACAGGATTGTGGCTTTACTGAGAACCACTGCCCTCCAGGAGAAACATGAATCCTCAAGCTGGAGAGAAGGTGTTTCTGTGGGTCTCAGGGGGCGACTGAGAGGATACACGTGGTTCTGTCCCCCACCTTTCCCCCATTCCCTTGTCCTGTCCTGTCCCCAGCTAAGGCGGGCTTCACAGTGGTTTCAGGCTTGCCCCAGCCGCTGGACACATGAGCTACATCCCATTCTGCTGGGACCACGCCGGGAAGGCGTCTCCTTGGATGTGAGGGGAGGGCTTGTGTCCCCCCAAGGGCTGTGGCCAGGCTGCCCATTTGTCCAGGGACCCCCAGCATGGGGTGGGCAGGAGCCAGCTTCTCACAGCCCCAGGGAAAATCGGGACCCTGAGCCTGAAGTCCCCTACATCCTGGTGTCTGGTTCTGACCCCAAACTCCCCGCGGCCCCCAAGGTGGAAAGAGGAAGTGGGGACGCCTGGCCTGGCCACGGGACAACCCCAACCACCTTCCGTTTGGAGGCTATAAGAGGAGCGCGCAGGGGGCACCCTGGAGCCAGACCGTGGCGTGTCACCGCGAAGCCTCCAGTCCTGCCCTCGCCTGTGACCTGCTGGCCTTGCTGCTGGGTGGTGAGTGAGGCCTTCTGCCCATCCGCGTGCACTCGGCTGATTCTGGGGGAATGTCGCCCCCACGAGGTCGAGTCCAACACCCTCCTGTCACAGCCGGGACGGGGGACAAGGCAGGCCCAGGGCAGGACTCCCTTTGCTGCTTGGGACTAATGACTCCAGGGAGGGGAGGGTGAGAGAAAAGGGCAGCCCTGGGCAGCTTGACTCAGTTTCCCACCCTTAAAAAAATGGGCAGAAACCAGTGTTTCCCTGGGAGGGAGGCGTGGTGAGGATTAAATATGATAAGCGA